TTTACCGTATAAAGTAATAAACACACAAAAGTATGTACAGAGAGATTTACCGTATAAAGTAATAAACACACAAAAGTATGTACAGAGAGATTTACCGTATAAAGTAATAAACACACAAAAGTATGTACAGAGAGATTTACCGTATAAAGTAATAAACACACAAAAGTATGTACAGAGAGATTTACCGTATAAAGTAATAAACACACAAAAGTATGTACAGAGAGATTTACCGTATAAAGTAATAAACACACAAAAGTATGTACAGAGAGATTTACCGTATAAAGTAATAAACACACAAAAGTATGTACAGAGAGATTTACCGTATAAAGTAATAAACACACAAAAGTATGTACAGAGAGATTTACCGTATAAAGTAATAAACACACAAAAGTATGTACAGAGAGATTTACCGTATAAAGTAATGAACACACAAAAGTATGTACAGAGAGATTTACCGTATAAAGTAATAAACACACAAAAGTATGTACAGAGAGATTTACCGTATAAAGTAATAAACACACAAAAGTATGTACAGAGAGATTTACCGTATAAAGTAATAAACACACAAAAGTATGTACAGAGAGATTTACCGTATAAAGTAATAAACACACAAAAGTATGTACAGAGAGATTTACCGTATAAAGTAATAAACACACAAAAGTATGTACAGAGAGATTTACCGTATAAAGTAATAAACACACAAAAGTATGTACAGAGAGATTTACCGTATAAAGTAATAAACACACAAAAGTATGTACAGAGAGATTTACCGTATAAAGTAATAAACACACAAAAGTATGTACAGAGAGATTTACCGTATAAAGTAATAAACACACAAAAGTATGTACAGAGAGATTTACCGTATAAAGTAATAAACACACAAAAGTATGTACAGAGAGATTTACCGTATAAAGTAATAAACACACAAAAGTATGTACAGAGAGATTTACCGTATAAAGTAATAAACACACAAAAGTATGTACAGAGAGATTTACCGTATAAAGTAATAAACACACAAAAGTATGTACAGAGAGATTTACCGTATAAAGTAATAAACACACAAAAGTATGTACAGAGAGATTTACCGTATAAAGTAATAAACACACAAAAGTATGTACAGAGAGATTTACCGTATAAAGTAATAAACACACAAAAGTATGTACAGAGAGATTTACCGTATAAAGTAATAAACACACAAAAGTATGTACAGAGAGATTTACCGTATAAAGTAATAAACACACAAAAGTATGTACAGAGAGATTTACCGTATAAAGTAATAAACACACAAAAGTATGTACAGAGAGATTTACCGTATAAAGTAATAAACACACAAAAGTATGTACAGAGAGATTTACCGTATAAAGTAATAAACACACAAAAGTATGTACAGAGAGATTTACCGTATAAAGTAATAAACACACAAAAGTATGTACAGAGAGATTTACCGTATAAAGTAATAAACACACAAAAGTATGTACAGAGAGATTTACCGTATAAAGTAATGAACACACAAAAGTATGTACAGAGAGATTTACTGTATAAAGTAATAAACAAACAAAAGTATGTACAGAGAGATTTACCGTATAAAGTTATGAACACACAAAAGTATGTACAGATAGGTTTACCGTATAAAGTAATAAACACACAAAAGTATGTACAGCGAGATTTACCGTATTAAGTAATGAACACACAAAAGTATGTACAGAGCGATTTACCGTATAAAGTAATAAACACCCAAAAGTATGTACAGAGAGATTTACCGTATAAAGTAATGAACACACAAAAGTATGTACAGAGAGATTTACCGTATAAAGTAATAAACACACAAAAGTATGTACAGAGAGATTTTACCGTATAAAGTAATGAACACACAAAAGTATGTACAGCGAGATTTACCGTATTAAGTAATGAACACACAAAAGTATGTTCAGAGAGATTTACCGTATAAAGTAATGAACACACAAAAGTATGTACAGCGAGATTTACCGTATTAAGTAATGAACACACAAAAGTATGTACAGAGAGATTTACCGTATAAAGTAATAAACACACAAAAGTATGTACAGAGAGATTTTACCGTATAAAGTAATCAACACTGATTTACCGTACAGAGAGATTTACCTTATAAAGTGATGAACACACAAAATTATGTATTTTTTATTAGGTTGATGTTGTCTCCAGTAAGTCAAATAATAATTTGGTTAAATGTTTGAATATAACGGAAGAACAGCAAACGACAAATGTCACTGTTTTACGTGAACCTTATTTAATATTTGTCGGCGCAATGACTATATTTATTAAATAACTATATTGTGTATAAGCAATGTGAAATATCTCTACATGAAAGGCGTAGGTAAGGAAGTAGTGTGTACGTGTTGATTATTGTTGTTTATTTGTTTACTGTCACTATATGCTGAGGTCAGGGCCACAGGGACACGATAATTTGTTACAGCTTTATTTGGACATGAACTGAGGTGTACAGAGTAATTTTACACGTTTAAGGGATTCAGATAAACTTTCGGTAAAAATGTCATATCGGGTAGCATTTTTACCGAAAGTTGATCCAAACCACTAAAACATGTAAAACTACTCTGAGCACCTTAGTTTATGTCCAAATATGGCTGTAACACATGCCCAGGCCCCTGTGGTCAGGGCCATTATCCAAAATACTGATGTGAAATCTACACCTGGCAGTCACGAAACTCGTCTTTGTGCGAAGGTTCCTTGGTATGAACAGAACGTTTAATTTCAAAAGTCTATTTATTGAGCTTTAGTAACAAATTGACACCGAGTTGACACTTGCGACTAATCAATATATTTATCTCATAACATGATAATTATATTTTTTTTCATAATTGGAAAACAAAATTCAGTTGTTCCGATTTTGCATTCGTGTACGTTAAGTTGACCAAACTTAATGAAAGTTGATCTCAAATAAGTGTTTCTATAGATCTTTTAAAACAAACAAGAGACCAGCCCTGACACGTGACTTAACTGTAATGCCAAAATCAGCTATACAATTCTGTAGGAGGTGAAAACGTGTATTTAAAACAGGAGTAAGTGTATAAAGGTCATGAATCAGAAACAAAATTTGGAAAAAAATCGGACGACACTCCATGTCTTAATCGAAGGTTATATTCGGGTTGTTTATGAAACACCACGGGGTATGTTACGGTACGATTTCTCACCGGGGTATAAATACTGTATACACCCCTTTGGTCACGTACCCTTTGATTAACCAAATCAGTGACGGGTACGTTTTTGTTGGGTTCGCAATGAAGACTTTAAAAAAGAAAAATCACCTTTTTGAAGTTGTGATTTGTTGCTGTTATTCACAATGTATAGGGGGCCGTATTACGTAAGAAACAGCACTCCTTCATTCAAAACAATTTGTACAAAGAAGGGGGTTTTGATTTATTTTACGAGCAGGTGCACAAAGTTACTAAGAACACATTGAAATTTGGGAGCCTGAAGTTGATTCCCAGTTCCTAGTTCCGTGTAAGGAAAACGGAACTGTGAAATTGAGTTTGGCTAAACAACAAAAAAAGTCTCTAGTTTAAAAAACTGCACCTTAAATGCGTTTTAAACATTCGGTAACATGTCCGAAAATTAATGGTAAGTTGGCAGCCATTAGCTCTAACTAATCATTCCTCCCATCCCAACCCACCACGTGCACCCCACCTCATCACCGTATTAAGTATTTCTTAACAGAGATATATCGCTATGCATGATGTTTCTTTGCTTACGATTTCAAAATCCATGTATCGATGGAGTCGGGTTCACCAAATACAGGTGATTAACGTAACATTACACGGCAGATCTGACACTTATGTGAGACCTATCAAGGTGTAAATGGTTTTAAATTTACCGGTACGGTGATCTATTTCTTTTGAAATCGATGAAAACTTCTGTTGAACTGCTCAAGTGTATATAGATATATCATGTATATTGAGTTTGAATGAGCTGGCATGGTCGTGGGAGGGGCATCGGTACATGTATTACACAGGACAGGTAAATACTGTACCTGTATACACTCGCATTGACGTATTTCGTTTACCTGTACGCGTATTTCATAATCAGGTGAAATATGGCCATATAGCTGTTAATGTCTTAAAATGAATTTCTTTGCAACTTTTTTTGATGTTTTTATAAAGTATCTACAGATATAGAAATATAAAGTGCATATTTATAAAACGACATGCTTTTGTGAATGGCGGAGGTGTACATGTAGTGCAATATTAATGAACTAAGTACACTACATAAAGATCTGACATCGGAAACAAAAATGGTTCTAAAATATAAATGAAATCCGGATTCCGGACTAGTAGTCGCACACAGACATCCTCAATACTCCAGGGTTAACGCTCACTTTCGCTTTGCAGAGAGCGATAGTGAGCATAACCCCTAGAGTATCAAAGATGCATACAAAGCGTTGCAACACGCCTGAGGTTTATTTTACCGCTATACAATCGAGGTGAAATGTTATGAACTTTGAACCTCATCAGAAACATGAACTATGGAGCTTATTGAGTTATAATGTTAAATAAATGATTTTTTTAAAGTTTACATGTTTAAAACAAAATCATAAAAACCTCATTTTCATTTGTTCTATAGTAGCACAAAACAAAAACTCAAGCGCCTTTGTTGCATACATTTAGGCCGTTTCGTTTAAACGGTCAAACCGGTCGGATCACTGTTGTTCGTTTATTAAATAAGGTCGGACCTATTAATCTGATGCTGCTTTCAGGCGAGCCTTGACAAAGCCTTGCAAGGCCTGCATAAACATTTGCAGGTCCGCCACGATTTATACCCGAAATTGTTACATCTATAAACGGTCAAACCGGTTGTTCCGGATAAACGAACAGGCCCTTAGTGTAAAATACTAACAAGCCTAACCCGCTGACTGACAGTGTCTGAGAGACGTTTTCTAACCTCAAAATCAAACGCTTCTTTCGGTTTCCATATAAATTACATTAAACAACGATGTTCTTTTGTTCCAGATCTTAATTTCTGTCCAACATGGGTTGTTTTGCGACATGTGGGAAGATCCTGCTTGTAATAGTGAACCTTTTGTTCTTGGTAAGTATAAATATGGAATCCTTATCTCTCTCTTATTTTAATCTGTTTTCATGCCAAAACCATTTTCGTCTGCATATTATCCCCCTTTACCAGGTATCGCGGATATCCTGCTTCATTCGAAGTGCTAACCCAACGATGGTAAGCCAGGTGATATAAGGTATAGAGCAACATAAATCTGAAATATAATATTAATATAACTCTCACTATCATGATGTAAATTATACCAACGAGTTTTATTTTTATAGGCACCATGGTCACTATAGTACGGTGGTACAGTTAGGACATGCGCAGTCGTATTCTCTACATTAGTTATCTCGAGCGCTCGACTTATATTATGTCTAGCTCTCGAGATAATTAATGTAGAAAATAATATTGTGCATGTCCTAACTGTACCACCGTACTATTATTGTGATATATTTATCAAAGTCTTTTTTAAAAGATGTCAGATTATGCATTTTGTGGAATCATAATTGTATTTGTCCGAAACTTGAAAGTTTGAAAAAAAAGCAAGAACCAAAATTATTCAAAATTGCACATTTGAAAGCAGCAGATATCAATCAATAAAAACTGCAGGGATCGAACTTAAGGCCTATTTACTGAATATCACACACTTTATCAATACTGTTATCAAGGGATTTTAACTCCATAGAATCAAAATGAAGAGTGAATATCTATACAAGGAAAGTAACTATAATCCAGAACAACTCCATTTTCTCTTCTGATATTTTCATATTTTCAAAGCCTTGATGTAAAATTATTCTAGGGATACCATAAGGGAGCTTTAATCTTTCTGTAAAATCCCCATTTCACTATGTATTAATGTATAATTATTGCTGTCATTACTGCATAGAACTATAGTTTTAACTAATACACGTGTATCAATCTCTGTTGAATGGTATTTTTTTTTCTAAAACTAGTTTTGTGCACGTGGAAGACATGTTCATTTTTATTTTGAAAGGAAACCATCTATCTGTGCTCTATGACTAACACGTTAAAATCTTCATATTACTTATCATTAATCACTGAACACTCTGTACTTGACAGGTGATAGGTCTGGTGTTTTTCATCCTCGGATTTTTCTGCAAATTCGGGAATGACACCCTAAAAGGGTACTACGAGGGCGCCCTGGCGAGCCTCTCTACCAGTCTTTCCGACTCAGGATTCGGAACCGTCGACCTATCCTCTTTTGATATTACAGAAGTGATTGGGACTCTTGGTATAGCGTTTATTGCGATTGGGACAATATTACTCGTGATTACAGTGTTCGGGTTTATTGGAGCTTGTTGTAAGATACGGTGCATGCTGATTGGCTACTGCATCCTCGTTGGATTGATCGTAGTGGGTCAAATAGTATTCTTCGGAATTCTTTTCGGGAACAAAACACTGGTAAGTAAATCCGCTGAAATGAATTGCTTTATAAAGCCAACATTGTCGATACCCAATTCTATAACATCCCAAGCTTGCCTTACAACTCGATCTTTTTTGAGAATTTACAAAGACTTTCATCCTCGATAACCCACGGGTAAGAGGGGCGTCTCTAACGCTCGCTACACAGGTATCAGCCTAGCGATTGGTCATTTTCTATTTTACCTGAGACCAATCAAATAGCTAGCAACGTGTCTTCAATTTTGCTATGACATATCCCAGGGGTACAGAAAGCGAAATTGAGCGTAACCCCTGGAGTATTGAGGATGAAAGCCAATGTTAATTCCCAAAGAAGAGTCACTAGTTTCAACATATTTTTAAATCTCTTTTTCTTGCGCACTTAGCGGATTTGCCGTTTCCTGTTACAGTAATTTTCGAACAACTACTGCTCCACATTTGGTAGATATACATGTATGAAGCGTAATCATATCAATTACCTGTTACTGAGCGCGATCGGGATATCTCATTCGAGGGCTAGGATTCTGCAGCATAATTCCAACTGAGGCGTAAGCCAAGGTTCGACGTTACAGAATCTTAGCCCGAGACTGCTTTAAATAATTTCTTAAGGATCCCCGTACAACTTCCAAAAACTGTAACTTTGTTTTAGAAATCTTTTCTCCGGCATGACTGTCGCTTTGATAAATCGTTTCTGAAAAGAAACTCATCAATTGCAGGATATTTATAAAAAAAAAAACACCTTAAGGTAAAATAAATAAAATATAATCAACAACAGTGTTGAGAGTGTATTTCCTACTGTTAAGAATGTGTCATCGTTAATGTACATTTTTGCATGTTTCTTGATTCAGATCACGGATCAGATAAAGACACCATTGAAGTCCTCCATTCAGTCCGACTTCCAGGGACTTAATGGCACAAACGTGGTATCGTTAGCTTGGAACTTCGTGCACATCCAGGTACGTTTTATTAATATGCTCTTGTGGCCTTATCTTCACCTGTGTTTATTCCAAAGTCCTAGGACCTTGACAAACGTGTTCAATAAAAGTAATTCGGCAGTTCTTCGATCTCGTGGGCTTTAATTTTCTTCCCGTAAATCAAGACCCGCATTCTAAATTACAAAAGAAACGTCTGTCCGGAAAATATAATAGAGTGAAATATAATATTTTACAGATTATTCTCCGATATGTCCAGGCTTCCAGGAAATTTAGATCTTTCATCAAGTGATGTCACATATAAGAAATATACTACAACCCATGTAACGAAAACAATGCTTTTAACATAAATGCCACACTGCTTACTTAACGTGTACAAAGGGAGATCACCATTTTTTAATTCAATTTTGTAATGTAATTAGAGTTGCATCCCTTTACATAAATTGACGCCATTTTTAAACGTTTGAACAACAGTACGAAGTACTGAGTGGTTTTGGTAAACGGAAGCAGCCTAGCTTTATGCAAATGAGCTTTATAGTATGTCAATGAAGAGTTAAAAGGCAAGTAAAACTGCCGCTGACTATTTTAGTAGAAACGGAAGCGGTTGACAGAGTTCAATTTAATTTTGATTTGACAAGTTTACCATTTTTTTCCATCTCCAACAAATTGTATCATAGAAAGTGAACAACTGACTGAAGAACTGAACATTTGTTTCACTCCCTTAATGCATGACCTCACTCTGTGTTCTAGGTGAAATGCTGTGGTGTCGACAGCTACGAGGATTTTACAGGAGCGACACTATGGCCCACTAACTATCCGTCATACTTCCTGAAGACTCCGCTGTCATGCTGTATGACACTGCCCTCGACCACTGACTTCAGTTGTGCAGCATCGCCGACGACATCAAATAACTACAAAGATACGGTCAGTATACCCATAAGTGAGTGACATCATATCCGCGATACTCCAAGGATTATGCTCACTTTCGCTCTCTGCACGCCAGAGGGGAATATTTAATAGCAAAATTGAAGGCACGCGGCTACCTATTTAATTGGTCTCGGCTAAAAAATACAGACCAATCACTGGGCTGATAATGTCCTTTGAAGATAAGAGGAATGAAACATGACTTAAAAGCCAGTAAATATTACCATTAGACGACCTCCAGATTCCTGTGATGTACATGAAAGGATCAATTTAGTCGTCCCTTCTCATCCACAAGGTGATGAACGCCGAGCCTTCGATTTCTCCCTGGCGTTTAGATGATGGTGTGCTCACAGAATGCCTTGCTCATGGGGTTGAATGACATACCCAATTTATGTATGGTTGCGATCTGTTGTTAAATACATTACTAATTCACACTTTTTAGTAGAAGATTGCATTTTATAAGCTGTAGAAATGACATGACATTAATTATGACGTATCAATGTGTGTCACTAATTTTACTTGTTTTGATGTCTGAATTCACAATACCGATATCTTTTTATTCTAGTTAATGTCAACCATGTTCAGGTTGCTGAATTCCTTCGTGTTTAGATATCATCTTGATACTTATTTCTACCTTTTCTCGTGTTTTGATTTCGCATTATTTCTTGTTTCTGCCTTTTCTCGTGTTTTGATGTCACCTTATGTCTTGTTTCTGCCCTTTCTCGTGTTTTGATGTCACCTTATGTCTTGTTTCTGCCTTTTCTCGTGTTTTGCTGTCACCTTATGTCTTGTTTCTGTCTTTTCTCGTGTTTTGATGTCACCCAATGTCCTGTTTCTGCCCTTTCTCGTGTTTTGATGTCACCTTATGTCTTGTTTCTCTCTTTTCTCGTGTTTTGATGTCACCTTATGTCTTGTTTCTGTCTTTTCTCGTGTTTTGATGTCACCTTATGTCTTGTTTCTGCCTTTTCTCGTGTTTTGTTGTCACCTTATGTCTTGCTTCTGCCTTTTCTCGTGTTTTGTTGTCACCTTATGTCTTGTTTCTGCCTTTTCTCGTGTTTTGATGTCACCTTATGTCTTGTTTCTGCCTTTTCTCGTGTTTTGATGTCACCTTATGTCTTGTTTCTGCCTTTTCTCGTGTTTTGATGTCACCTTATGTCTTGTTTCTGCCTTTTCTCGTGTTTTGATGTCACCTTATGTCTTGTTTCTGCCTTTTCTCGTGTTTTGATGTCACCTTATGTCTTGTTTCTGCCTTTTCTCGTGTTTTGATGTCACCTTATGTCTTGTTTCTGCCTTTTCTCGTGTTTTGATGTCACCTTATGTCTTGTTTCTGCCTTTTCTCGTGTTTTGATGTCACCTTATGTCTTGTTTCTGCCTTTTCTCGTGTTTTGATGTCACCTTATGTCTTGTTTCTGCCTTTTCTCGTGTTTTGATGTCACCTTATGTCTTGTTTCTGCCTTTTCTCGTGTTTTGATGTCACCTTATGTCTTGTTTCTGCCTTTTCTCGTGTTTTGATGTCACCTTATGTCTTGTTTCTGCCTTTTCTCGTGTTTTGATGTCACCTTATGTCTTGTTTCTGCCTTTTCTCGTGTTTTGATGTCACCTTATGTCTTGTTTCTGCCTTTTCTCGTGTTTTGATGTCACCTTATGTCTTGTTTCTGCCTTTTCTCGTGTTTTGATGTCACCTTATGTCTTGTTTCTGCCTTTTCTCGTGTTTTGATGTCACCTTATGTCTTGTTTCTGCCTTTTCTCGTGTTTTGATGTCACCTTATGTCTTGTTTCTGCCTTTTCTCGTGTTTTGATGTCACCTTATGTCTTGTTTCTGCCTTTTCTCGTGTTTTGATGTCACCTTATGTCTTGTTTCTGCCTTTTCTCGTGTTTTGATGTCACCTTATGTCTTGTTTCTGCCTTTTCTCGTGTTTTGATGTCACCTTATGTCTTGTTTCTGCCTTTTCTCGTGTTTTGATGTCACCTTATGTCTTGTTTCTGCCTTTTCTCGTGTTTTGATGTCACCTTATGTCTTGTTTCTGCCTTTTCTCGTGTTTTGATGTCACCTTATGTCTTGTTTCTGCCTTTTCTCGTGTTTTGATGTCACCTTATGTCTTGTTTCTGCCTTTTCTCGTGTTTTGATGTCACCTTATGTCTTGTTTCTGCCTTTTCTCGTGTTTTGATGTCACCTTATGTCTTGTTTCTGCCTTTTCTCGTGTTTTGATGTCACCTTATGTCTTGTTTCTGCCTTTTCTCGTGTTTTGATGTCACCTTATGTCTTGTTTCTGCCTTTTCTCGTGTTTTGATGTCACCTTATGTCTTGTTTCTGCCTTTTCTCGTGTTTTGATGTCACCTTATGTCTTGTTTCTGCCTTTTCTCGTGTTTTGATGTCACCTTATGTCTTGTTTCTGCCTTTTCTCGTGTTTTGATGTCACCTTATGTCTTGTTTCTGCCTTTTCTCGTGTTTTGATGTCACCTTATGTCTTGTTTCTGCCTTTTCTCGTGTTTTGATGTCACCTTATGTCTTGTTTCTGCCTTTTCTCGTGTTTTGATGTCACCTTATGTCTTGTTTCTGCCTTTTCTCGTGTTTTGATGTCACCTTATGTCTTGTTTCTGCCTTTTCTCGTGTTTTGATGTCACCTTATGTCTTGTTTCTGCCTTTTCTCGTGTTTTGATGTCACCTTATGTCTTGTTTCTGCCTTTTCTCGTGTTTTGATGTCACCTTATGTCTTGTTTCTGCCTTTTCTCGTGTTTTGATGTCACCTTATGTCTTGTTTCTGCCTTTTCTCGTGTTTTGATGTCACCTTATGTCTTGTTTCTGCCTTTTCTCGTGTTTTGATGTCACCTTATGTCTTGTTTCTGCCTTTTCTCGTGTTTTGATGTCACCTTATGTCTTGTTTCTGCCTTTTCTCGTGTTTTGATGTCACCTTATGTCTTGTTTCTGCCTTTTCTCGTGTTTTGATGTCACCTTATGTCTTGTTTCTGCCTTTTCTCGTGTTTTGATGTCACCTTATGTCTTGTTTCTGCCTTTTCTCGTGTTTTGATGTCACCTTATGTCTTGTTTCTGCCTTTTCTCGTGTTTTGATGTCACCTTATGTCTTGTTTCTGCCTTTTCTCGTGTTTTGATGTCACCTTATGTCTTGTTTCTGCCTTTTCTCGTGTTTTGATGTCACCTTATGTCTTGTTTCTGCCTTTTCTCGTGTTTTGATGTCACCTTATGTCTTGTTTCTGCCTTTTCTCGTGTTTTGATGTCACCTTATGTCTTGTTTCTGCCTTTTCTCGTGTTTTGATGTCACCTTATGTCTTGTTTCTGCCTTTTCTCGTGTTTTGATGTCACCTTATGTCTTGTTTCTGCCTTTTCTCGTGTTTTGATGTCACCTTATGTCTTGTTTCTGCCTTTTCTCGTGTTTTGATGTCACCTTATGTCTTGTTTCTGCCTTTTCTCGTGTTTTGATGTCACCTTATGTCTTGTTTCTGCCTTTTCTCGTGTTTTGATGTCACCTTATGTCTTGTTTCTGCCTTTTCTCGTGTTTTGATGTCACCTTATGTCTTGTTTCTGCCTTTTCTCGTGTTTTGATGTCACCTTATGTCTTGTTTCTGCCTTTTCTCGTGTTTTGATGTCACCTTATGTCTTGTTTCTGCCTTTTCTCGTGTTTTGATGTCACCTTATGTCTTGTTTCTGCCTTTTCTCGTGTTTTGATGTCACCTTATGTCTTGTTTCTGCCTTTTCTCGTGTTTTGATGTCACCTTATGTCTTGTTTCTGCCTTTTCTCGTGTTTTGATGTCACCTTATGTCTTGTTTCTGCCTTTTCTCGTGTTTTGATGTCACCTTATGTCTTGTTTCTGCCTTTTCTCGTGTTTTGATGTCACCTTATGTCTTGTTTCTGCCTTTTCTCGTGTTTTGATGTCACCTTATGTCTTGTTTCTGCCTTTTCTCGTGTTTTGATGTCACCTTATGTCTTGTTTCTGCCTTTTCTCGTGTTTTGATGTCACCTTATGTCTTGTTTCTGCCTTTTCTCGTGTTTTGATGTCACCTTATGTCTTGTTTCTGCCTTTTCTCGTGTTTTGATGTCACCTTATGTCTTGTTTCTGCCTTTTCTCGTGTTTTGATGTCACCTTATGTCTTGTTTCTGCCTTTTCTCGTGTTTTGATGTCACCTTATGTCTTGTTTCTGCCTTTTCTCGTGTTTTGATGTCACCTTATGTCTTGTTTCTGCCTTTTCTCGTGTTTTGATGTCACCTTATGTCTTGTTTCTGCCTTTTCTCGTGTTTTGATGTCACCTTATGTCTTGTTTCTGCCTTTTCTCGTGTTTTGATGTCACCTTATGTCTTGTTTCTGCCTTTTCTCGTGTTTTGATGTCACCTTATGTCTTGTTTCTGCCTTTTCTCGTGTTTTGATGTCACCTTATGTCTTGTTTCTGCCTTTTCTCGTGTTTTGATGTCACCTTATGTCTTGTTTCTGCCTTTTCTCGTGTTTTGATGTCACCTTATGTCTTGTTTCTGCCTTTTCTCGTGTTTTGATGTCACCTTATGTCTTGTTTCTGCCTTTTCTCGTGTTTTGATGTCACCTTATGTCTTGTTTCTGCCTTTTCTCGTGTTTTGATGTCACCTTATGTCTTGTTTCTGCCTTTTCTCGTGTTTTGATGTCACCTTATGTCTTGTTTCTGCCTTTTCTCGTGTTTTGATGTCACCTTATGTCTTGTTTCTGCCTTTTCTCGTGTTTTGATGTCACCTTATGTCTTGTTTCTGCCTTTTCTCGTGTTTTGATGTCACCTTATGTCTTGTTTCTGCCTTTTCTCGTGTTTTGATGTCACCTTATGTCTTGTTTCTGCCTTTTCTCGTGTTTTGATGTCACCTTATGTCTTGTTTCTGCCTTTTCTCGTGTTTTGATATCACGTTATGTCTTGTTTCTGTCTTTTCTCGTGTTTTGATGTCACCATATGTCTTGTTTCTATCTTTCTCGTGTTTTGTTGTCACCTTATGTCTTGTTTCTATCTTTCTCGTGTTTTGATGTCACCTTATGTCCTGTTTCTGCATTTTCTCGTGTTTTGATGTCACCTAATGGCCTGTTTCTGCCTTTTCTCGTGTTTTGATGTCCCCTTCTGTCTTGTTTCTGCCTTTTCTCGTGTTTTGATGTCACCATATGTCTTGTTTCTCTAATGTCTTGTTTCTGCCTTTTCTCGTGTTTTGATGTCACCTAATGTCTTGTTTCTGCCTTTTTTCGTGTTTTGATGTCACCTTATGTCTTGTTTCTGCATTTTATAAGATACACGGGGTTTTATACAATTTTGATTAAGGTACCTCAAATGGTCACCCGATAAAAATAAAATGCTATTCTGGCCATTCATGACCATGGTTGTTGGCGGGCCGTTACACTAAAACAAAAACAAAACAAAAAATAGGGCAAATATTTCCTCCAGTTTCAACGTCGCTTCGATCGGTTTCTGTAGTTGTCTTCCCTTGTTTTTATGTCTCTGGTTCTTGTTGTCTCTCTTCCTGCTCAAACTCAGATCTTGTGCCCAAGTCAATTTTCTTATTGGATTCCTTTTGTTTTGGTGTCTGCATTATTCTTATCCTGGTTTTCCTGGGTCCGTACTCATGGAACCGTTCTCATGTTTAAACTCAGATTCTGTGCTCAAGTCCATTGTTTTTGTTCGCATATACTTCAGTCACAAATAACATGTATTCTATCATGTTTAGGACTTTTGAAGATACTTGAAGCAGAATACTACATGAATTTAAATGTTAACGATTGACTTCCTGGCGGTATGTCATGATTTAAGCTACTTACAGTTGATTTGGTCTATGCACAGAATTTATGTTTGAGCATGATTATTTTACTCAAACTAATTTTCTTGCATCTCGCCTAAATCATGTGACACGGCAAAATGGTTAAGTATAAATATTGAAAACAATATTCAGCTTTTATTATCTCTAGAATTATTTGAAATCATTGAGAAAATGTGGACTTTCATTAATTAATCACCGGAACAAGAGCTTAAGCCCATAACCTGTGTTTGAGCATGAGAACGGGTTTCATGAACAAGGCCCCTGGTGTTTTTTAGCTCACCTGGCCCGAAGGAAATATTTTCCCTTCTGTACAAATGAAGGGATTTAAACTAAATGTGGTCTGAAGCATGCTTAGGGGAAAAAAACTCAATTTGTTTAATTTGTATAAAATGGTGCATGTGAGGCCCAATAGGAGAAGTAGAGGAATATTGGGACATAACATGGAAACTCATTTTCTTGGTGTCTTTCCCACCAAAACAGATTTTTATTTGGTTCTTCTTGCAACTTTGTTTCTTGTACTCCTTTGATAATCTGTATGATACTCAGCAGGTTTTTCATTGAAAATTAAAATACCAGGTGAGCTATTAAGGCCCCTGGGCCTCTTGTTTGTAATATATCAGCTCCCTTTTAAAACGAAGTTAACAAACGAGTGCAATTCTAGTTTGCTTGTTTATTGGTTCAAATATCTATATGCAGCACCTGTGTAAGTCGACAAAAACGATTGTATAGCTCGAGATAACAAGACAGTATTGCTATTATCATATTACCTTATATTGCTGTTTCAGGGCTGTTTTGACAGTATCTGGGACTTGGCACTTGGAAACGTTGGCCTCATGGCGGGCATATTTGCAGGCATGGGACTTTTTCAGGTAAGCTGTTAGTCCAGACCCCGATTTCACGAACAAAATCTTCGGTCAGATTTAACTACAAAAAGAATTCAAAATCATTTTTTTAACAGTCCATATCTTTTTTTAGAATCTTCACAATATCTTCTTTGACCATTCAACAAAGATTTATTTTTTTGCGTAAACAAATCTGAACAAACACTGAAGATTTTGTTTTTTGTGTTTAAATATTTTGTCAAATTGGTAAACAGCAAGGAAACTTATGAAATATATTCAAGATTTATCCAATATAGTAAATTAATCAGAGTAAAATGGAAAAACTGTATTTGGGAAGGCCTGGTTGGTGTTAGTTTACATGTATATATATTTTGATATATATTTGTAACTCGGAATTGATGCAGTTATCATGTTGTGCTCTATTCTAACGTTATCCTTTATATGAACTTTAGATAGCATTCACGTTTCTTGGCAAATTAGTTTTCATTTAGTTACCACAACGTTCCATTTCATCATATTTGAATCGATATTTTTCATATTTTCTATGATGATAAAAAAGTGTATAGCAGAAACATTTAAATCATAATAATAACTGACGATTTGTGTTCGGATTGATTAGAAATACCAACAAAACGCCAGTAGAGCTTTACGTGTAGTGACGTCATAATGCTGAACAATGACGTCATAGTTCATTGTAACATGAAGACATTTCAGTTGCATGCATTTAGAGAAAGAAGATTATGGATTGATAAATTATATAATGCCTTACAAGCATTCCAAATATTTAACACAAATCAAATTGTTGCATTGTCAAAGTTTTACTTTATACACGAAACTGTACGCATAAAAAATTGTCAAGGTATGACTGAGTCATACATTGTTTGTGTTTGAAGTAAAACTTTGATTTCACACCTTTCCAAACTGCTGGATCTTATTGAAGATACACATTTTTGCATGTCTTGGTGTTTCTCATTTAATACAATCATTGCAATAATCTTATCCACTTTGATATAATGAAAAAAACACTACGAATGGAAAATGTTACACACATATTAAGAGTGTATCACATTCATCTTTTCAGATCATGCTTATTGTTTTTGGTATCTGCGTCATAATGGACGGGAAACAAAATCGAGTTGGCAGTTCTACGTCACGTAATCAACATAACCGCAAAAGGAACCGATGGGATGATTAGTGAAGTCTCTACAGACCTGGGAAACTAAACTGTCTTTGGTTTTTTATTGTTTTTTTGAAAATATTATTAGAATTTCACATTCACAAATATTAAAACTAAGTTGCTGAAGACAATGAAGGTATTTTCAACGGATCAATTGATAACTGCTTTTTAGATCGATTCATTATATCTGAATTAAAGAGACCTTTGAACTAAGAAAAATATTTTCGTAATTAAGTAGTTGCGTGTTGTGCCGGTTTACACATATAAATTGGACTCGTTACCAGCGGAAGTTTATCAAGAGTAACAGAGCAAAACTAAATTTCGTTTGGATGACATTATCTAAAAATACATTGGCGATATCTATTTTTAAATGCTTTGTTTATCTCTAGCAAATCTCTTCCATGTGACCTTTCACCTCATGCTTTCCAAATTTTATTAAAATGCGCTTTGTTCATAGCCGTGTACAAAAGGTAAGGCAATTGCAAGCATTTTTCACATGACAATTTATTACATTTATAAAGTTCATTGTATTCCAAAGAAAGTCGGTGTATATTAAAATATCTTCATATAGAATAAGAACAATTAGAGTGAATTTAACGAGATGAAAAGAATTTGATATAATTTTGAAAGTCATAAAAACAACATTAGTTTGGATTGTATAATAATCATGTTCGAGGTAAATTGTACCACAAATATTAACATTGTAACTCTAGCGATGTTACGTAATATCCGACCGGATACGTAATATCCGACCAGATACGTAATATCCGACCGGATACGTAATATCCAACCAGATACGTAATATCCGACCGGATACGTAATATCCGACCAGATACTTTATATCCCACCGGATACGTAATATCCGACCAGATACGTAATATCCGACCGGATACGTAATATCCGACCAGATACGTAATATCCGACCAGATACGTAATATCCGACCAGATACGTAATATCCGACCAGATACGTAATATCCGACCAGATACGTAATATCCGACCAGATACGTAATATCCGACCAGATACGTAATATCCGACCAGATACGTAATATCCGACCAGATACGTAATATCCGACCAGATACGTAATATCCGACCAGATACGTAATATCCGACCAGATACGTAATATCCGACCAGATACGTAATATCCGACCAGATACGTAATATCCGACCGGATACGTAATATCCGACCAGATACGTAATATCCGACCAGATACGTAATATCCGACCAGATACGTAATATCCGACCAGATACGTAATATCCGACCAGATACGTAATATCCGACCAGATACGTAATATCCGACCAGATACGTAATATCCGACCAGATACGTAATATCCGACCAGATACGTAATATCCGACCAGATACGTAATATCCGACCAGATACGTAATATCCGACCAGAAACGTAATATCCGACCAGATACGTAATATCCGACCAGAAACGTTATAGCCGACTTTAAGAGTTTGTATACTGTTACAAAGCATTGGCTTAAAATACACGTGAATTGTTTGTGTATTGTTACTGTTAGTATTTGTTTTAAATGTAAATCATAATAGTTTCGCCATCTAGATTTCTCTGTGTTGAATTCTACCTCCTATCAGTGGAATCGTAATTATTCAGACTGCTAGTGATTACTGTCAGACAAACACACAGCTTTGGTCATAGATAATCAGGTACAGTTACCGGTATTCTAATTCTAGTGCTTTCCGTGATTTCAATATTAAGCTAAATTATGATTATGATTCAACTTTCTGTATATCGATTCCTATTACATGCTTTTAGAGTGCACCAATTCATCAATGCGTTTATCTGTTTAAAGTTTTGGATATAACGCGATAATTTGAGTCCGCAGAAATAACTATGTTCACATTATTTCACCGTGATATGAAGTAAAGTTAATTATTTTATGATAAACATATGTTGTCATACCTAATTTAGTGGATGCTGCTGCTTAAGGACTCGCACACCTAAATCATTTTTTATATGTTATACGCCATCACATAATAAAGTCTACTAAACCAATACATTTGTCTGAACTTTAATATCTGTAGATCATATTCAATAAAATTATGTCAATATTTACATATTTGAATTACGCAGATGCGCTGTATTGAACCGGAACAAAATTCAGGTAGGGATTACAATCGTATGAAACACTTGCTGATTGGCTGATTTAGTTTGCGAGTCCTTGAATGCTGTTTGTACTACGATCGGAACAATAGATTACGTCAATAATTAAAACAATCATTTGAACGATACTCTAAAATGAAAACACAATGTGTCAATGGGTTTGAATCGTATTGCTTTCATAAAGTTGAACATGATGATGTACTTGTAAATCATTTTATACGGTGAAGTTAAATGTTGTTGGGAGGAACTCCAAAAGGTTTCTGATTCCGGAAATCGGAACCCTGCTGTTTCTACCATTAGCCTCCTAGACCTCTCTTTAGTCCGTCTGATTTCTAAGGTCTACGTTAAGTATTTGATTATAACAATTTTAAATTATGTATAATGTTTAAGTTTAATTGCACATCTTAGCGCATACACTTATACAAAATATTTCTGTTCGTTTAAAATTGTATTTGATTGTAATTACATGTGATGTGAGCTGGCCTCGTTTCCATGTTGTCACGTGATTATCACGTTGTTACTTTGTTACCTAGATATCTGTTCCTATTTTTATGCTTTACTCTTTCTATCATCATGACGATGGTTATATAACCTGACACCGCTAAAACATGTGATAAATCCTGGGTTTTTTTCTTCTTTTCTTTTTAATTGAAGTTTTTAATTTAAACATATCTTAAAACTATTTCCACAATTTTTTTCTTTATTTCCTCAGTGTAATCCTCATACTTTCTTGCTATTGAAATACAGAGTCGATCTTTTTTATAATCTTAAAAGTTCCATCTTGGTGGGCTGTACTCTACTCTAGCGCAATGAAATGTGTGTTATACAATCAGAGTCTTTGATTAAAGACGATATGTACATTCATAATTTAAAAAAATAGATTAATCGAGAATGCAGTCCGGGATAATTATAAAATTTCAATTAAGGATTAAAATCCTCTCATTGAGTAAAGCTTATATAACTGTACCCAATTGTTTTATTATTTTTTTTGTGGTTCGAACGTGCATTTGACTGCAACCATGCATAGTCCTGTTTTAACAGCAACATCAAATTTAAATAAAAAAGTGCCCCCCCCCCCCCCCCCCCCCCCACGGAAAGCGTTCATTTTCAACGACATATATTTTGCTTTCATATAAATATCTCGCAAAATCAATTTTCGTAAAACTATAGCGTTTTGCATTTCACATTATAATCTGAAAATATTTTATTGATTTAAAAAATAAACTTTAGAAAAAATATGAATCATTGCTTATAACGAATTTTCTGAAGTGATTCTGGAAAACACCAGTTTACGTGATAAACGTGCAAACTATAAGGTCTTATGTATAATAATATACATCAGAATGAATTATTTCCTGAATCACACGTTTAATAGACGTTATTTTGTTTGTGTTTAGTGAGTAACAGACCTTTAAACAGTTTGCTTAAAATTCCGTCCATTATTGGTGACAGTTATTGAACTCGTTGTATTGAACATTTTAATCCAATTGATAAATACATTTTGTTGTGTATTTACCATTAGTTTGAAATAGATGAACTATTTGTTTATTGTTTTTGTTTATTTTTTGTTAGTTTGTTTATATCGTTGTCGGATTCGTCCAACCATTTTTATGCATAATGAACAGGCATGTTACCAGCACTACTTTTCAGATCTTCCTTCGGTATTCCGTCTTTTCGTATTGCAGAGTTATCTGCTCTTGCGGGCAGGTATTGATTATTACGTCATTTGTTTGTGAGATTAACGTCATAAATGTTTGAGAAAACGACGTAATTTTCTCACACAAAATTATGACGTAACAGTCAATACCTGCTCACAAGAGGTACACTCTGCAATACGAAAAGACGGAATAACGTTGTATGTGTGATATGGTAATCGATATGTTGTTTTGGGATTTGCTTTATAAGTATAGAAAATATTTGCACGAGCTAAAATATGTGTTAAGGTAAAGAGTGACACTGCATCAGTGTAGCTGCTATAAGGAGTTCCATTCGGAGTTGGTGGAGATGAAACATTTGAAATGCATTTTTCTGGCTTAAAGTGACTTCAAGTCAATTTTTCATATCCTTTTTGACCTATAAACTTGACAATAATTTAGATACTGTGGTTGTATAATGCCTGTATGACAACATCGGTAAAATGTCAGCTTTGTAAACGTTCCCAGTTCGAACCCTGCTATTGTCTTGTTTCGTTTTTATTTCTTTCTGTTCAAGTTTCGAACAACCACAATTCCGTTAAATGCATGGCAACATGTGGTTTCAAAAAACAAATAAATGATTTAATGAAATATTTCTTTTTAAATGGGCTTAAACGAATATTTTACAATAGATATTTTTGTAATACTATAGCCTAACTTGTTGGTACTCCTTTACTTTAGATTTCATATCTCGAAGTCATAAAAAGTCTGCAATACAATTCGAAGCGATGTTGTTTTAATTTTGATGTATCAGACACTACTTAACATTTAACCTTTTGTATTTGGGATAGAGTGCTGTATGGACCTTAAGTCCGTAGATCCATCTATAATCCCCCCATGACTTGATATATAAAAACGCAATTTATCTTTGTTTTCCCATATCAAAACCATGGTATTTACAAAATCCAAATGGTTTCTATCAAAGTGCAGATCAACCTTTATGAATTTGCTGAATATTTATATTTATTTGAAATTTGCGTATTTTGCGAGATTGATCCAAATATACATCTATAACGGTGGGTTATATATAAAGTGTACACCGTCCTTCAAACAATTTATTTTGTTTAAACATAGTCATATTTTTTATTATGGTATATTGTTTTATGTTCAAATGTCAAGAAAAGTTTTTCTTTATTTCCTTGAAGGAAAATGTTAGAAAAAGCTATCCGGAAAAAAATATTCCAAATTGTACAAAAATACAGTAGAGTTTTTTCATAAACTTTATTTTTATATATTATTTTAGTCTTGATACAATTATCATTATTTTTATACTACTACGTTAAGAATAATAAGCATTTCATCTTAGAACTGTTGAATGCTTGCTGTGAGTGCCGAAATAGCAGCACTGGCTGTACATGTATGCTCCGAAAGTAGTTAAGACAGAAACCACGGATAACGATTTACGAACCGCGTTGAGAAAGATATTGGCTGGTTGCAAAGACCCAATAACTACGGATAGAAAGTACAAAACGTCAGTGGGGCAATTGAATAAACGGGCTTTTTGTTTCTTATGTTAAACTATCAAATCTCTCACGAGCATTTATAATTAAATATTATCTTCATATCAATCAAATTATTATACTCTATTCATAAAACATAACATCCCTAAATCGATCAACACATATGGATCCTGTTATCAAAAGATAAGAAACGATAAAACAGTTCTATTTTCATTCAATATCTGTTGTATTCACAAAAAAAATGGTTCGACGAGGAGACGTTTGTATAAGAATTTGGAGTAATTGTCTCTCGAGATTGTTATGATTCTTTATGATCTTTTATGAAAGTTAGAAATGGATAATAGTTTCACTTTATGAAATCTGGCGCTGAAGCACGGTTTCTTTTGAAGTAAAAGCCTATGATTCATTGCAGTACAAACATACATTGATATGATACTTTGTACGTACGTTCATTTATTATGTTAGAAGTGATAACAGTAGTTGCATTTGACTATTTGTGCTTTTTTTAATTCCGTCAACACTTACTATTTATTTTAATTTGTTATTTGATATTTAGTAAAAGTTAACCGTTTTCGTTTTTGTTTTGTTTGCATAAAAGCTGCTTTAATCCGCAAATGATATTTTTTCGCTTGTTGAATTAGATAATTTATAATTACATCATTGTTTTAATAAATATAATTAACCTGGTTTGAATATCCTTGGCCTGTTGTATTCACTTGTTGGATTTTCATAGATAACACCTATACATTACTTGTACTTTATATTCAATCAGTTTTGAATGATTAAGTTTTAAAAATTCCATTCAAAATTGTAAAAGACATTTGTTTGATCAAACTAAATCATTACGTATGCTATAAGTGAAACGTGGATTATTTATGAAAACATCTGGAACTTTTTTGATCGTTGACAACACATTTTCAGACAAAGATGTCTTCTAGCATTGAATTGATTTATGTTCCACATGTAGTATCAACCAATTTTTCAGTACCAGATTAGCGACCCCATTTTACTGACTATCCGTTATTTTCCCGGATGTATCCGATATATACGCAACCTTTATTAGAACCTCTATATTTAAGTCGTAGTCATTGAAACGCTTTAAGCGTTAAAACACGATTGTTTAAACTCAATAATGCTTGAAAGGCATATATAAATTACATACAAAGGTGAAACGTCTACAGGAGTTTGATTAAATAAATGATGTACTAATAAAGGAGGCAAATACATGATGTATATCCGGCTTGTTCAATGACAAGTGTTCATGTTTAACGGGGTGTTGCAGTTTGATTGTTTTTCACTATTAAATAGAACAATCTGACATTTTAGGAATCCTATATTTTTATCAATGTAAGCATATTATATTGTTTTAGAAGATGACACAAATGTCGATTGCAAGAACTCTTTGACTAAAAACTATTAAAACTTATGCTTTTATCGTTATTGTGTCTTTTTGTATTATACAATTATACACCTGGTGGTTTTGTTGTGACGTCATTTACCAAGGAACCAAATCCCGCGTGGCTTTCTAGTACGAAGAATACACACTATGATACTTGTGAAGATATACTTACTTTGCAAAAGTACATACACTACTTTTCTTTATTTTCTTTCATCGATCGTATAAACAGGAACATAAATTGATTACTGATTTATATACATACGCAACTTAAAAACAATTTCAGACAATTCAAAAAAGACAGTTTTTGATTTAAGAAACTGACAGGTAAATAAAGAAAGGTAGAAACACTTTTACATACTAATTTTAGCAAATTCAAAATTAGCGCATCATTGAACTTTATCAAATTTTAATAGATGTGTTTGATGATTAATTGGCGCACCCTCAATGTATAATTAAAAAAAGATATGGTAATTGAGATCGTTATCTAAAGCGCGAAAAGCGCTGAGTTCTAACAGTAGTTTTAACAGATAACCTTTATATACAGATATAATTGTTTTAGTTTCTTATTTTGATGGTGCTACGTAAAGTAGAAATGACAACAGACACAATCTGTAGTTTAGGTGATGCAAAATAACAGCAACAGATATTGTGACACCAAAACAAATGATTTCATTATAAAACTAGAAAATGTCTGTAAGACATGAATGCCCCCGCTGCCATGTGAAATTAGTTTCAGTGTTCTTTTAAAAGTTACAACCACTTTGATCTTGATACCCTGAAACATGCACACACACAAGGTACTACACTTAAATTTGATTTTAATATTCATATGCTTTTTCTGTATGTTATTACCATCTCCTTAACATATTGAATGAAGTTGCTAAGTGTTTAAATTGAATCAGTTGATGGTTTTCTATATATAGCAAGTGTGACCTTGGATCCCTGAAATACAACGATGTCCGAAGTATACTCATACTTGACCTTTGTATAAAGTTTGACCAAAATCTGTCAAAGAATGAAGTTGCTAAGTGTTTACATTAAATCGGGACGGGACGATTTGCTATATATAGCAAGTGTGACCTTGGCCTTGACCTTGGATCCCTGAAATACAACGATATCCGAAGTATACTCATACTTGACCTTTGTATAAAGTTTGACCAAAATCTGTCAATGAATGAAGTTGCTAAGTGTTTACATTGAATCGGGACGGGACGGGACGCGACGGGACGGACATGGGTAACACTATATGCCCTGGGATTCAATTCACATATTGAACGTGTACAGTATGAGGTTACTTACCCGAACACGTGGTTTGTCTTCAGGCACTCCGGTTTCCCCTACATAAGTTCCACATGTATCAACAATGTTTTCGATTAGACATTTAGTTCAACAATGGTCAATACTTTTAGTATGTCTGTTTTAATCTGTACTGCCACAGTAAACGTATAAATGCAGGCATATACATTATACAATAATGAAAATAAATCCATTAAACTTCGTTACAGCCTACAACGGGTAAAGTTTGATTTTTTTCAGCACGAATTACAAAATATATTGATTATAATGATTTATTGTTGGGAATCTGTTAGAAAATAGGCAGTCACGGTTCAATGTCTGGTTCTTCAGAACAGAGCCTTTCTATGTTGGCAGTTTCTACGTCGTTCAATTCCTCGTCCCAGCCCCACCAGATGATGACCACGCCCCCTCCTGCTGTTGGGTAAGAAGGGTCCCCGCCACGCCCAACCTCAATAGGGATTAGGGTGTTACGGTAAGCTGTGATTAAACGGCTTGGTCTTGAGAATCCGCCTCCTCCACCAGACCCGCCCTCTATTGACTCCGCCCCATCACCGAAGTTTTTGCATGTGGTATCAATACGACAGTCTCGCCTTATCCTGGAATTAACGTTACTGGAGGCGTGGTCTGCAATAAACATTAGACATATCAGGGAATACCCTCTAATCGAGAAAACGTTAAAAAAGTCGTGAAATAACTGTGATATGAATTGCTGTTTTAGTAAGACCAACAATTATTTTATGTACATTTATTTGCTGTGATACTACTTTGTCTTTTAACTAACCAATTTTGCTAACAGAGGACCCTGTGGAAGATTAGCTTTGTTAAACAGGTTTTGTATCCTCAATAAATAAAGTTTATTATTATTATTATTTTTATGACACCTACATGTGTATAGCAATGTTAATAATCCAATGTGTAGGGGTGTAATTATCCACAACAATATCGGGTCTTGCCCTGGGTCCGTCTCCATGACATCCTGTTGATGCTAAAGCACGGATACCTTGCTCAACAATAATGTATCGTGATACGCCTCAATCATGTGACACGGTAAAAAAAAGTCAAATGTAAAAATTGAAAATGGTAATCGGCTTCACCAAACCTCTTTGCAAATTATTGACAACATGTGGCCAATATTTCTTTATTTCAATAGATCAAGACATTGGACTTGAACACGGTATCTTAGCTGGATTATTTGAACGGGTTCAGGAATACGGCCCCTGATCTGTACTTCCAATATATTTATTGATGGCGTGGTCTGTTATTCATGTGTCCAGAGGCGTAGACTACAATGAATGAAGCATACACATATGTTCCATAATAACCATATCTTATATGAAAAAAAGGATCCAGAGGGCCTGTATCCTGGTTGGTTCTTCTTCAGGAGTTGTTTTGACATATTTTCCCTGTGACCTTGTAGATAGGTCAATGTTATTTTCATTCTCAACAGTCAGGCTCTATCTCAGGAAGCCACCAGCCAAATATTATAATTGTATACATTTTAGTTCTTCAGAAGAAATCGTTTAAAGAGTTTGACATATTTGACCGCTGTGACCTTGAAAGTGAGTCATGTTCATTTTCATTCTCCAACTTAGTTGGGCTCTAACCCAGGAAGCCACAAGCAAAATATGAAGATTCAATACCTTTTAATTCTTCAGAAGAAATCGTTTGCAGCGTTTGACATATTTGACCGTTGTGACCTTGAAAGTAGGCAAAGTCAGTTTCATTCGTAAACTTTGTCGGGCTCTATCCCAGGAATCCATCAGCCAAATTAAAGATTCTATACCTTTTAGTTCTCAGAAGAAGTCGTTTAAAGAATTTAAAATATTTGATCGTTGTGACATTGAAAGTAAGTCAAGGTCAATTTCATTCTCAAACTTTGTTGGGATCTATCCCAGGAAGCCACCAGCCAAATATGAAGATTCTATAACTTTCAGTTCTTCAGAAGAAGTCGTTTGAAGTGTTTGACATATTTGACCCCTGTGACCTTGAAAGAAGGTGAAGGTAATTTTCGTTCTCAAATTTTTTTGAGCTCCTACCAACGTAGCTTTCAGACAAATATCATGACTCTATGCCTGTTCGTTCCTCAGAAGAAGTTGTTTAAAGGAAAAGTACACGGACGACGACGGACAGACGACAGACGCCGCACTTTCGAGCAGGTGAGCTAATAACCGAACCCTCTTTCAAAATGATAGTTTCTAGAATAGTTTCATTAATTGTATGATAATGTGTAAGGCTAGTGTAATACGTAATATCTATTCATGAATCTAGGATATAACGAAGTATTTTATATTCCGTTTCGATTATCGATTATAATCGAGAATCAGACGATCACAAAACCGATTCTAATCAATCGATTGTGAAATTCAATAATCAACTAATCGGTTGAAATTATTTAATGTTGATTATTTTCTGTACAATTCTACTGATAACTTACCAACGATGTAACTTTGCTAATGGTTATGAGGTATACACTAGTTTTCCTAATAATGGATTAAACTAAACGTGTGAATTTCACGTGTATAAACAGGTCTCTAGCAGACAACTCTTGTTTTCAAATTACATATCCTAACACCTAACTATATACGTCAACATAATACATATGTATAAAGAAATTATCAAAATGTGTTTATTCTGATTACAATCGTTGACGTTCATGAAAGGTTTTCCGATAATCGATTATGATTTCTCTTCCATTTCCCCACATTAGTAACAGTCATGCAGAACAACAATATCAAGGACAAGTATTTATAAAAATACATTGGAAATCCCAACATATACATATAAACTTCACCATTACACACATTTCAAAAGAAATCATCAAAGTGTGTTTTTTGGGTCCAGATAAACTTATAAGCTTACACAGTACCTAGGTGAAGACACCTACCCTGCACTACCCTACTATTACTAACAGTCAGAAGGGTGTGTTTCTAACTGGAGTTTAAATTCATTTATATACAAAACCCTAAGTGATATAAACAACTTATCAATTGAATATGAAAGAAGATATTCCCTCGCTAAAAATGATATAATTTAACTTATACCTATGATATAGATATGAATACAATAATGAATTATTAGATTCAAGCCATTACAAATGACTGATAAATTAATACAACTTCCAAACTACTTACTAGTTTAAAATTATAAAAACTGTGTCTTAAACTACACATGATGTACATTCAAATGGTGTCAACAGTATTCTCTAAACAATTATTATCAATTAGAAATATTACATTAAAACTACAAAACAAAAACAAATATCTACATAGGTGAAGTGTCAAGCCCATGGCCAGCTAGGTCCCAGTGGGGTATCCCCATATAGCTGACCATCACCCTACAGCAAGAGGGAGCTTACACAGCATGACACTTCCTACACACCTAACACAAATCGCTTAGCACTAATTATAATCGATAATCGTTCGTGATAGGTCTTCCGAAAATCGTTTATGAATTATCTTCGTATTCCCAACACTACCACATATACCTACTCGAGAAACAGCTGCCTGGTCCGTAGTCATTTTCACAGAACAAGCTGTGTGCTTTAGTCGGTACATAGTTCCATACGGACCCTCCCCGGGAGCACGTGTTACGAGAGAAACTTCCGGCGGAACCGGAATTCCGTTCCCCTACACCACCAGCTCCACCTGAGCCAAACATCAGATTAGTTAAAAATCCAAAATGACAATGTTAGATGCAAATTTAATGTCAACTTACTTTAGTTTAATTCCACTGGAATAACCCTTCGAAAAAAGTGCGTTATTGATCGAAATTTAGTATCAAACGCCTCGCGAACTTCAAACAACACGCAAAAACAATTAATATGCGTGTAAGTAATTTGTTTCCCCCCCCCCCCCCTCCATTATAATCTAGCTCTTCATTCCTTTGTAAATCCTTATATTTTTGTAACAGAAACATTTTAAGTTGAAGTTTGAGTTTTTTCCTTCCAGTTGTGACACCCTGGCGGACGTGTTTTCTATTTTCATACTACTTTTATTTTCTTATTTCATCCGCTTAATTTGTTATTTAAATGAAAACAAATAAAAAACCCGATTTTAAATGATTGAAAAAAAACAACACTTTTAAATCTGTTAAAACACAGAAATATTACCTGACGCCATGGTGCCTCCTTTACCCCCACCAGCCGTTGAAATCAGGGAAGTAACTGTCCCGAACCTTGACCTTTGACCGTCGCCTGCACTGTCTCCCTGACTAGAGAATTGGTATCCGCCCCCTCCACCACCAACTACTATGACCTTGACAGTTGTCATCCAGGAGTAGACGTAAAAGCTAGCGGATCGGGTGAAGATCGTCCATCCGCCATTCCGTGTTCCGTAAACTTTGGTGTCTGCGAAGTATAATAAACGCTTTTGATTGTCCAATCTATACTCAGAGTTGTCGTAAACACAAACATACACATCTGTCAACGACTAAATGCCATAGTACACTATGCAGTCTATGTGTTGTTGCAACATATGAATTCTGGCGTGTTTTGGAAATATGTTTATAACTTTAAATACGTTATGTCAACGGTAAACAGCGGTAAATATTATAAATTTTCGAAGGTCCTGTTGTCAGAGAAGTATTGGCTATCAACCTAGAAGGAGGAAATTTTAGCATTTTTTAACCGAATTTGACGAGCAACGTCCCTGGGAATAAACGAAACTTAAGTCAAAAACTAAAGTTACCTGGCTCACACCTGGGTATAACCATCCAGTTTCTACGGCGACAGATACCGGTGTCGGAACCTACAACACTATGGGCGGGCAGACACTGTACCCGGAACTGTGAACCCCCCGGGACACGGGACCCAGGCCGGAGCTCCTTCACATGACCATAAACGATGTCGTCGTGGCTTGGTACAATGCAGATATCTGTAATCATAGACTATTTTTATAATTTAGCATTACAAATAATGCATCATCAATACATCTGTATAATATTATTCTGGGGCCGCGATGACCGAATGGGTAGGGGGTCTTGTCGTCTACTATCACTAGCCCTCCATCACTGGGTTGCGGTCTCGTAGGTTGGTGTTTTTTTCTCATGGTACTCGGGGTTCTCTCAACCAACAAAACCTTGCTCGTCCCTAGATAACCATAACTGTATATAACTGTATATAGGACAGGACGTTAATCTCAAACAAACTCAAGTTAGTTCTATTCTTTTAATCAGGGGAGATAACATTTAATATTTAATATTACGCTATGCACTAGGTATCGCTAAGTGATGTTACCATATAATAAATTAGCTCATAAATTTTCAGTTGTAGATAAGCTATATTCACACATATGGATACAAACTGTTACACAGCTACAATCCATTTTAATCCATTTTAGTCAATCTCATGTGTTGCGCTCGCTTGAATTTTTTAATTTTAAAAGAAACCTTATATCAGGAAAGTGTATACCTTATCTATGTTTTCTAGGGGATATGTTGTGGCTACACGTGAGTTGAGGACTCAAGGTAAGTCAGTTTGTTCTTATATTTTTATTACTTTTCTATGTCTTATTGACTTCTAAAAACACATTCGACCATGGAACCTACCATTATCTGGGAGATCTATGTTGCGGGGTGCCAGTGTAGGAATACAGACTGTACGGTTTTCTCCGGCTGGTACACAGGTACCGAAACACGGGCTTAAACAGCTAATGTCTGAAACGAAACTAGATTGACAATATTTTTTTGCAAAACATTTGATAATATTAAAATCCATGATATTATAGCACACAGTGCAATGTAAAATATATCTATAAAAAACAATCGTATGACGTCATGGTTTCGAGTGACTGCCATGTTTGTTAAGCCCCTTATGTGAAGAAATATATATATATATAAACACCTTAATTATATGTGACGTAGACAATTAAAACATTTCATTAAAACACAAATAACAATCTTTAATAACAAGCCAATCGGATTGATATGTCTCGATTGTGCCTCGCTTTGACCATCTATGCACAAGTTTGGTTGGTCTAGCAATCATAGTTTCAGAAAAACTAACTTAAACGCAAATACTCAATGTTGTTGGAGAAGCTGACAAAGTCAATGGACTATGAAAGGTAGGCCGCAGCCAGCATTTAATACATGGGTTGAGATATACTAGCTAAGATGCATCTATGGTCCAAGCTTGGTTGCTCTAGCACTTATACTTTCAGTGAAACTAACTTAAACGCAAACACTTAATGTTGACGCCGCCGTCGCAGGAATAGTAACACTTAAGGTGGCTCGACACATCGTCATCAGCGTCCATTTTTGTGACGTACTTCCGGAAAAAGTACAGCTCGGACTCAATTATCTTGATCGAAATGTGCATGTACACCGTGTCGTCATTTCCGTTTTGCGTATCGGGTATTCAATATCGTAGTGCAAATTATAGTAACACCTGGGCCGTTTGCGTTTAAACGGTCAAACCGATCGGACCACTATTGTTCGTTTATTAAATAAGGTAAGGCCTAGTTATCTGATGCTGCTTTCAGGCGAGCCTTGAGAAAGCCTTGCAAGTCTT